AGTCACATGGCCTAGACCTGGATCATTGTGGGAGGGGACTGCTCAAGGGCATGAATAAACCAAAATCCAAACCAAACTCACTGCTGTGGAGTCGATTCAACTCATAGCGACCCCTCCGTGGGTTTCCCAGGCGCTTTCTCTGCAGAAGTAGATCGCCCAGTCTTCCTTCAGAGGAGTGGCTAGTGGGTTTGAACTGCCAGCCTTTTGGATAGCAGTCAAATGCCTTAACACTGTGCCACCAGAGCTCCCAAGGGCCTAAATACCAGGAGGAAATAATTGTGGCCATTTTTGCAAGCAGTTTACCTCAGATACTAATTGTGACAGTAGTCTCTATTTACTGAGATTTATAACCAGTATATAAATCAGACTAAGAGCAGGAATTACAGTTTAATTATGGTGTTATTAAGGAAAACTGTCTATTCCATTTAATCCAACGGTGATGCACTTTCACGGATGAAGAAGCAGTATAGTAAAAGCTGTTGATTTCTGGAATTGCTAAAAGTACAGGGATCACCTGTATATATGCTGTTTTTTGGCAGTTGAGGTGGCTTCCCCTACCAGTTGACTCATTCATTTCTTCAGCTTTAGTTCCATAAAATACTTTCATAACCTATATCTGTAGAAGGTATTTTATTGCTGTTCAGGCCAAGAAAAATTTAGTCACATCTTCCATCTGTTTTATTTTTTAAAAAAATAAAAAGGAAAAAAGAAGAGAATCACAGACAGTCCTGTCACTAAAATATTTGCTAATTGAGTTCAAACTATTTTTCATTTTGGTGCGGTCTCTGGCTTATGCCCATACAGATCTATTTTGTGACATATTTTAGATTAGAGGCTGTTGGTTGTCCCTCAAGGGATAAAGACTTCTTTGGAATGATTAACTGCAGCTGGAGCATAAATTTGTTTTTATAAGCTACTGCCAAGTTACAGAACCATGGAATTTTCAAAGCTGCAAGGGACATTAGAAATAACCTTGTCCAGTGTCCTCTTTCTGTAGATTAGGAACCTGTGATTTTCCCAAGATTACATAATCAGGAGCAGAATCTAGATCTTTGAAAACCCTAGGCTAGGGACTTTTGTGGTGTATTGTGCTGTTGCCAAAAATCAGGTTTAGTTTTGTTTGTACTCTTGAGTGTAACCTTTTAGCTAAACATTTTTAGTATAATTACATTTCTAACACCTGTGTGAATTTTGCTTCCAGCTTATGTATGCATGTGTGATTAGATTAAAAATTCTCTTATTACAGAATTCTCTATAGTTTTTGGAACTTTTTAATAAATGTCAGTTATAATGAGGTCTTTAATGCTGATATCAAAAGACAAAAACAAAGAAGTTTTAGATAGACTTTGTCCTTTCTGACCCTTCGTTGTTGAAAGAGACGAAGCACAGTTGGTGTTTCAGCTTCCAGAATATTAGAAATCTTTACATGGCCTGTCATCAAACAGGAACGACTCTGATACAAAGACAGCAAACATTCTCACCGACTCATCTTCACCGATAGCAGCTATACAGTGTCCGTACTCTGGCTTCCAGATGCTTCTTTGATTTTTGTGACCTGGTTTAGAATTCGACCACTGAGGTGTTGTCCTTAGTGTTTCATCCTTGAATTTCTGCCATGCAGCTGAAAGGAATTTAGGAAGCACCATGGAAGTCTATTGTAGTGATTACAAAATTTTCATTTTGTACATGATGTTTTTTTTTTTTTTAAAGAATAATGCCTTTCTTGATTTTGTAAAAAATTCCACAGGAGAAGGAAAAAAAAATTAATTACCTAACATTTCTTATTTTGAAGTTACCACTTTTACTGATGAACTCATCTCTGTCATTACTCTGTACGTATACAAAGATGGAAAAACAGACATGAAATGACAGACGTAATGAGAGAATGGTATGTGAGATATGAAATTTATTCTCAAACATTAAGTGGTATTTCCTAAGAAAGGAAATTGTCTTTTTTTTGTGTGTGTTTCCTAAGAAACTATAGTACAGTTACTTTTCTAAAGAAGGGCTTTCTCTTTTCTCCCAGCCTTTTAGAGTGTCACTCTGAGTGTGTGGAGTCTCTTTTATTCACTGATTTCATTGTGATGCTCACAGTGTCCTTTTGATGTGTCCCCATCAGTTCTTGAGCACTTGCTTGCTTTTGTTGGCACAAAAAAAGGTATTCCAGGCCCACTTTGTACTTTTCCTGCGCTAGGCGTGGAAGCAGCCTTTACTGTTAAGAAACACTGGTTCCTTTTAATGGGTCATGATATTTGGAAACCAGGATCTGAGTACTAGGAGAGCTCAGTGCTAATGAAGTGGCTTTGCTTCAGGAACTTTCAGTGAAGAAACATGTATGCATATTTGTGTCTGTTTAAAAGCATGAACTCCTAGTATAGTACCTTCATTTCAAATACCACAGAGTTACTCCTTGCTTTCCCTTGTGTCCTATTTTGATATTTAGATACTGTCAAGTCCCCTTCACAGAAGTTGTATCATTTTGCAGCCTTTGCAACAGAAAGCTTTGAATGCTGCCTACTTGAAACCTAAGAAATGGTTATCTCTGAGTGTTTTTAATTTGCGTTTCCCTTACTGTGAGTGAACCCACCAGGCATGGTTTTATATGTTTAAGGGCTGATTGAATGTTTTTGTATGCATGCTCTATTTTCAATTCTTTTAACTTACTTTTCTACTTTTTTGGGGTCCTTTCCCGCTGATTTTAAGAATTTTTTTATTTAGTGAGAGCTTACCTCCCTAATATATAAAAACGTCTTAAAATTTCTTTTTTTTTTTTAAAAAAATGTGATATTTGTTGCAAATATTTTCTCCCAGATTGCCATTTGTCTTTTTTCTTGGCTGTAGTGTATGTGCACTTATTACTTTTTAAAATTTATGATGTTTTCACCACACATAAGGTTTTTATTACATCTGGATTTTTGTCATGGTTAGAAAGCCTTTTTTTTCCACACCCAACTTTTAAATGAATTCACACAATTTCCTCTCGTATTTATGGTTTCCATTTTTACAGTTGGATCTCTTAATCCATTTGCAGTTTTTATAATTTGAGGTACAAGAGATAGGTCCAATTTAATCATCTCCCAACCAACTGGGCAGCCATTTGGACGTTTGGATTTTGGATTTTCCATTCTGTTTGCTTAATTGCTCCTTGCAGTTAGGATATGTTATATAAAAGTCTGCTGTGCACTGGGTATGTCAGCAGTCAGTAGTACTGCTGGAGTGGCTTGGCTCGAGGAGGCTCTATGAACACTCATCTGTTCATGTGATTTTGTGTCTCTCCTCCCTTCTGGTCCCAGAGGAGGGGCAGAAGGGGCTATTTCTTGGCAAATCCCAAACACCCTTGCTTTAACAAGTTTTATTTTGTTTTAGTTCCTGAAGAAATATATTATTAAGTAATAACTTTAATTTAAAAATTAAACACAATAAACATGAAAAACACTTCACATCATACCTAGCACAAACAGAGCGAAGCACACATGGGCCACATACCCATTGACTGGTCCTAACCAATGCTGTGTTTAATCCCTACTAAGTGTGGAGGCTGGAAGGAAGGTTGGGCAATCTACTTCCGTAGTGATACCGCCTTGGAAACCCAAGGAGGGGTCGCCATAAGTCGGGTCTGACTCGATGGCACATAACAACAACAAACAAGTGAGGAGGCACCAGGGAAATATGCTGTTGGCAGCTTCTGGAAATGTGTATATCAGGAGTGGCTGCTGTTGAACCTGGCAGTGATGATAAAAAGGTCACACATGTCTGAGAGTCAGTCAGGGTGTTGGCTTGCAGCTGCTCTAAGCTCTAGGCAGGTGTTGGGAGATCAGATTGAGTGGAAGAGGGAACCAGGAGAGAAGCACTTGCTATTCTGGCTCCTCTAGACACCTCCCATCAGCTTCTTAGGACTCCTATCTTTCCTGCTTACTGGGAACAGGGACAGTACAAACTCCCATGTTCACAGAAAGCTCTAGAAGAAGCTTCCTGTACTTCCCGATACTAGTACTAAACTAGTACCACTCACAGGCACAAAGATTCCTTAGCATGTGGAATAGGTCCCCTTAGCTAGCTAGGGCTTTAAGCCATGCTGGGTAGAGCTCTTCTTTCTTCATTGTTGTTGGCAGTTGTAGCTGTTGGTTTGCTCAGTGGTTGTTCGAGGCCCAAGCTAACGCTTCCTCCACCAGTCTTCCCTGTGTACCCCAGTTTGCATACGCAGTCCAACTTAGGGGCACATGTGATGTTTATCGTGAGTTCTGCTCATTTAATACTTACCCTGTACTATCGCCTTTAAAATAATAATAATAATAAAAACCTTACGAGGGAGTAAATAAAATCACGTATAATTCTGTCAGAGAAACACTGTTAACACTTTGCTGTATTTTCTTTCATTCTTGGTTTTTTCTCATATGGATACATTCTTACAGAGTTGAGATCACACTGTATTTATTGTATCTTATTTTTCTGCCTTAGCCTTTACAAACTGTTACCTCATAATCTCATAGTGTGTGGACTGTGATTTACTTGGGCTTTCTTTCCCCTGCATGTTTCTCTCATTAATCCATTGGATCATGAGATTATCAAGGGTTGTCACCCTACTGTGTATCTCCCCTGCCTACTCCTGTTCTTGTGGTGAATTTTCTACATGGCAGATACATTTTGTTTGCTTCTGTGTTTTCAGTCTGAATATGACAGGAACTATTTGCTACCAGAGACTCAAAAAGGATTACTTGTAGCTTGTTCAGAACCATTGCATCACCCAAGTCTTTCCATCTCAAAGATGGGAGATCTTTGCATGGATTTGAGGGGGACTGTGAATCCTCTGAAATTCTGTGAGAAGTACTTTGCGTGAACATTCGTGTCTTTTCCTGTGGTTTTCGTTAGCTTCCTGAAGGAATCTTCATTGCACAGAAAGAGCCACAATGCAGAGACGGTAGCCCACCTGAGGGGCTGTTGATGAAGCGTGTTAACAGAATGAGCCTGCCTTTTCATCCTCTCTTTCTCTGGGTTTTTAGGAAGAGATGAGACCGTGCAGCCCGCAAAACCATCTTTCCTGGAGTACTTTGAACAAAAAGAGAAGGAGAAGCAGACCAACAGCTTTGGCAAGAGCGTGCCTGGCCCACTGAAGACTCCCTCGGATTGGAAGGTACCACAGGATGGAGACTACGAGTTTGTAAGTAGTGTTGGAAGCCAGGTGGTTACGACTTCTGGGGGAAGTCTTTTGAAATATCACACGTCCAACTCTGTCAGCTCACCAGCGGTGCCTGGGCGTTTCCTCATGGCGGCCTCCGTCTCCTCTACCCACCTCTGGCAGCAGCTCCTGGGCTGAGGTCCTCATGAGTTTGGGAGACCAGCATTCTGACTGACATTAGAGGAGTTCTAGTACTCTAGTACTGGTTGGTGGTGTCTTTTCTATTTTTTGCCTTAAAAATCCTTTATTCACTTGCCATTTTTCTGCTTGTCAAGTTTAAAATTGTTAATGGTAAAGGAAATAATCTGCTAGCGAATGAAGCTACAACTGTCTTTAGTAGTTATTTGGGATTGTGATTTTTGTATTTAAGAACTAGACTAGAGAATAGTTGATGCTGTTTTGCACTGTCAGTTGTTTTGCTAACCCTCCTCTTAATTTTTAGGCTCTCTGAGAGGATTGTAAGGAGCTCTGGTGGTGTAGTGGTTAAGGCTTTTGTCTGCTATCCAAAAGGTCGGTGGCTCAAACCAATCAAGAGCTCTGTGGAAGAAAGATAAAGCAGTCTGCTTCCACAAAGATTTACAGTCTTGGAAACAGAGAGGGTTGCTGTGAGTCAGAATCGGCTCAGTGATAGTTTGATTTGGTTTGAGAGCATTCTGAATTTTGTCAGAATTTTGAAAATTGTTGCAAAGTTCCTTGCGAAAAACTTAGGTATGTTTTTCCTTTCTCTGCCATGGAACATTCTCCCTCAACCACAGACACTTATTACTACTGTTCACAGGGATTTAATGAGTAGAGACAATAAAAGTGTTGGGAGAAACATAAGGTAAAGAGTCTACATTCCTTTTCTGAGTATTTTTAGATGTTCTCTTTAGGAATTTTTTAATTTTTGTAGTCTTAAATTCTGAAGTTTGCTCCTTAGCTGTCATAATTCTGTTGGTGTTTATGAAAGAGCTGTGGCCACTGGATTTGGACTCTGAGAAGCCTTTCTTGTCCTGGCTTCCTTCCATCCAACTGACTGGCCCAGAGGGAAATGATGTCATTCTTCCATAACTCGGCTCCTACTTTTGTAAAGTGTCAGGTATGCCCTAGTTTATGTAACTAATGGTAGAAATCTTTTGAAGACCAGAGGAATTCACTCGAGGTTGTCTAACCAAGTAGTCACTGAACTCATGTTAGAACCCACGTTCATTTGTTTTGTTGTCTGTTGGTTCTTTCATTTAGTTAGTCTGTTTTTTGAGCACCACTATGTATGTGATACTTATCTAGGAATATCCAAAACTCACTGTCACCGAGTCAATTCTGACTCATAGTGACCTCTTCTTGGGTTTCCAAGGTGGTATCACTACAGAAGTAGATTGCTCAACCTTCCTTCTGAGGAGTGGCTGGTGGGTTTGAACCTCCAGCCTTCTGGTTGGCATTCAAATGCCTTAGGCACTATACCACCAGAGCTCCCATCTGGGAATATATTTGTGAACAAAACTGACAAATGCCCCTCCCTAATAGAGTTTTGAAGAGTCATTATGTGTTGGAGCTGACTGGATGACATCTAACGATAACAACAATGGAACTTCCATTCTAGTAGAAGGAAAATAGAGAAGCAACATATTTAGTGTGTCAGATAGTGATAGTGGCTATGGAAAGTATAAATAAGGAAAGGGAGATTGGGATGAGGGGGGAGGGAGACAGAGACACAGACAGAGGAGAGTGCTCTGGGCTGCTATTGTTAATCAATCAGAGTAGGCTCTTGAGACTTGAATTACTGTACGGACTCTTCTATGTTGCCAGTGCAGTTCTCTTGTAAGAATTGATAAGAGCTGGTTTTCTCAGTTCAGGAAGTCTTCAGACCACAGTGTTTAAATAACTGCCAGGTACCTGAATCACATCATCACTGTGATAGAATTTCTAGGCCTAATTTTCCTTCTTTTTTCAGTGTAGATCCTAAAATCCCAGTCATTTTAATCCTGGCCATTATTTCTGTATCAGTCATTCCAATGTATAGAGAATTTAGTTCTCTTTCTCACAGTTTTCCTGTACAAAGATCATTGGCAGAGACCATGTTTCAGTGGGCAAACTCTTTATACAAAGAGGCTTTAGTAGGTCTTTAGAGAGAGTGTTTTTGTTTTGGAAGCAGAGAGTTGCTGGTGGGAGTGGGGCCTGGAGCACCATGGATAAGTTAACACATGGTCCAACCTCCATTAGCCTGGTCCATGCGAGAGAAAGACCCCGAGACTAAGCCATAGGCCATAAGCTGGTGGCCTCCAGTCCATAGATAGTTTTGTGCATTTTGTACAGTGTTGAAATATTTTAGTTGCCTGTGTTTAAAAATTGAGAGATTTTACATAAAACGTGGGTCTCAGGTTTATCTTGAAAACTTGGATGATCTGGACACAACAGACCTGTGTTATTGGATGATGGTTGCCTGGAGCCAAGTAGCAGCTTCCCCCTTTGGGCATGACCTCTTCAGTTCTCCTTTCCAGTATCTGGCCTGCTTATCGGCTAATTGGCCAGACCGTGTGGCACTTACGGGCATTTGATGTTGGAACCCTGGCACTGTGTCGTTTGGATTTGTATACACCCATGTTGTGCCTGAGCCAGCCCATCCTGATGTATAAAACGTTACTCTGTTCACCTTGTGAGTGTCAGGAGGGTTTTAGTCTTTAGAGAATTTCAGACTAGCCATTGGAAGAAAATTGAGGGTCGATACATGAGCCACTACACCAAAAAGCACCAAAACACAAATGAAAACTATCTTCAGTGTCTTAACATTCTCTCTAGATAGCTCTTACCTGAATTGCAAAGCAACCATTTGAAACAGTAGTGTAAGATAGCAGTTCTCAATGTGATCCCTGGACCAGCAGTGATGGGATCCCTTGGGAACTTGTCAGAAATGCGTTTCCTCAGGTCCCACCCTAGATGTAGTCAATCAGAAATGCTAGGGCAGGGCTCAGTCATCTGAGTTTTAACCTGCTGTCCAGGTGATTCTAGCCCACTAAAGTCTGAGAGCCACTAATCCAAAAGGTGGTTTTTTTTTTTTAAATTGTGATTTGGGTGAAAATTTACAGAGCAAATTCACTTTGCATACAGCAGTTCACATACACTTTGTCTTGTGATATTGACTACAATTTACCCCATTGCAACAGCTCCCCTCCCACTTCCTCCCAATAGTTACCTCTTCCCTGTGTCCATCCCTCCATGCACTCCTGCCCCCTCAGCTGTCTCCCTGTGCATAAACAGCCCTTCTTTCGACCATGATTGTTCTCTCCAAGGAGTGTATCTACCTCAGGTACATGTTCAGCTCTTACCCCTGTCTTTTGTTTGGCTGGAAGCCACAGGTGTGTGTTCAATTCCAGACCTGAAGGGCAGCTAGGGGCCATAGTCTCAGTGGTTCCACCAAGCTCTATTGGACCGGCAAACCTGGTCCTTCCCCTCCTCCTTTTTTCCCCCCAAATGATTTTGAGTTTTGTTCCACATTGTTCTCCCTCTCTATCCAGGATCTCCTACATAGATCCCCCTCTGAGTGGTTGACAGTGGTAGCCGGGCACCATCTAGTTCTTCTGGTCTCAGTCATATAGGCTGCAGATCACATGGTGTACCAGTTGCCAGGACTAATTATTTTCATGAATCTTTGGTTTTCTTCATTCTTCTTTGCTTTGGATGAGGAGAGACCCATTGTTCCATCTAGATGGCCGCTTGCAAGCTTTTAAGATCCCAGTTGCTACTCACCAAAGTAGGAAGTGGAACAATATTTTGTGTAGTATGTTATGCCAATTGAGCTTGATGTCCCCTGTGACCATGGTCTCAAGCCCACAGGTTCAACTGCTCGGTTCCTCTGGGTAGTTGGCTGTGACCAAGAAGTGACTACAACCTTGTCCCAAAAGGTTTTTAAAGTGTAGTTTATGTCAGTTTCTCCTTTCTTTCCTATTAAGTGCTATAGAAATTCAGAGACAAGAATAGATTCTTATTTTATTAATATCTTAGAATGTTAGTAAGTCTTCATGCATACTAGCTCTGTCTTCACAACCATTGCATGAAGTAGATATTGTTTTATGAATGATAAAGTGAAGCTTAAAGGTCCAGACCCAAACCAAATCCACTGCTATTGAGCTGATTCCAACTCATAGTGACCCTGTAGGCAGAGTAGGACTGCCCCATAGGTCTTGCTTGGCTGTAATCTTTATGGAACCAGATGGCCTCATCTGTCTCCCATGGAGCAGCTGGTGGGTTTGAACTGCTTACTTTGTGTAGCAGCCGGATGTTTTGACCACTGTACCACCACAGCTCCTTTGGTTATAGTAAGTGGTAAAGCAAGGGTTTGAACCAAAGATTTTTGGCTCTAGAGCATACGCTCATAACCATCTACCCTGTATGGCCTTCTTTGAGGCTCTTAGCAAATTCTGTTCAAAAAGTAAACATGAAAACACTAGAGGAGCCCAGAAGAGGGAGCAAGAGCTCCAGGGAAGGCACCAAGAAGTCTCATTTGAAAAATGAATAGGAATTTTGAGCCAGAGAAGGAGGGAAGGGACATTCTAGGCAGAGGGCAGTGTGTCTGTGGAGGCACTAAGGAATGCAGTAGGGTCAGGAAGTACTGAGTAATTGTGTTTGGCGAGAGAAGGTGTGGGTGTGTGAGGAAAAGGAAACAGAGACTAAAAGAGGGACCTTCAAGTAAAGTAAATTAGTGCCCAGTGTACCCTTGTGTTTTTGGAAATACTTAGTTCTTTTTCAGATTTTTCCTTGATGTATCGGAGAAATTAAAAATAGCCTCCTAATGCATCACAAAGAGCTAGTGTCCCTCTTTGTGAGATGCTGGGTCATCAGGGTGTAGAGACAGCACACTGTTAATCCAAAATTAATTTGATTGAAGTAACAGAGCCTGAACAAAATTGATTATTTGGACTGTGTGGATAATTAGACGCCATTGAGCTGGCTTTTTGTGGTGGAGAAGGATAAGTTTTAGCCCTGGGTTTTTCCCAGGAGAGTGACAA